GGTTGCCCGACTAAATCCGTCCCATCATCTCAAATGTCTAACAAATTCCTCTCCCCGCAACTCTTCACTGTGAAAACTCCCAACCCTCCTGACAATCCATTTAAGTATCACGAGAAAACCTCTACTGTTATCCACAGGGTGCTTAAGTATCAGGGAGGGGACCAGAGTCAGAACTTGTACAGTGCACCTTGTAAAGACACCATGGCGGCTGCTGGCAGTCCTAATGTCACATCCAGAACATTCGGTGCAAAACCAGCTGCTTTTGATAGGACCAACCAGAGTAACAAACTAGGTGTTGGTACAGATAGTTACCATAAAGGAAACGTTTCTGTTCAAGGGTTTGGAAAGGGTGTCCCCCAACCTGGGCCCTCAAGCAACCTCAGCAGGTCCAACCATCATTTCAACAAACCCCACTCCTCTTTTCCTCAGTCTTTCAGCAAAAGTAAGATTTCATCTGAAAAGCATCCAAGTGTTGAGACCAACATGACATACAAAAACCTTTCAGCGCTGCCAAGACCCTTCTTCTTTCCCAGCAAAATGCCTGAGAGTTACTCGTCAACACATGACAAGAGTTTAAAACAGGATAAGCCTACTATGTCAACCTCAGAGAAGCACCAGCATTGTTACACCCAGCAAGACCCTTTTGATTTTAGCTTTGGCTCGTCTCTTTCGCCCATGTCTCAGCACAACAGCCCCCAAGTGGTCCACAGTACACCTCCTGGTACACCAGCACCAGCAAAGAGTCAGTCCTCAACCTCCTCAGCTTCCTTCCCTTATGGCTACCAAGGTCCTCCTTACGTACTTAACTTCAGTGGAGATCATTCATTGACGCTAGGTCTCAGGGATGGGGCTGAGGGTTACCCAGGATTAGGATCGACAAACTACACCTACCACTGCCTGATGGAACCCTCAGGCACCCAAGGAAGGCTGGTTCTTGAACCCTGCGGACCACAGATGTCGAACCCAGCCTCTTTCTCTTTGGGTGGCTTTTCTGGGCACAAGGTTCAGGACGAACATTGCAGGAAGGACATGCAGCAGCAGTGCCAGCCTGGGGAACATCAAGGTGCAACACACTATGGACCTGTTTCATCGTCTCACTCAATGGGTTCAAATAAACCCAAGAGAGTGAGGTTAGTGGTGACAGATGGCACAGTAGACTTAGATCTCCAATACTCTGACTAAATTATAACCACCAGAGGTGGACTGGAGAATATTTTGATGTTGTTTTGATCAAGGGTGGTTAAACATGTTTTGTAAAAACTGTAATTCATAGTCTACCACTTCTTAATGAAAGCCCGCTGACTGACATTTTTCTAAACCATTAATTTGGTGGACTGTTAATGACTTGTACAAGTTTTTAGAAAAGCAGGCACACCAGCTTGTTTGACCTACTGTATGATTTTTTTTTTTTTAAAGAGGTATTCACTTCAATTAACTGAAAATACCAAATTACAATGTCAAAAGAAAACAAAGCATTAATATATTTGTGACAGGGAGTTTGAACTTAAAAGGCCCCGTAAACATTGAAAACCCTTACTGTACTGTAATGTAACTATGAACTTTTCTATACCATGTATGGCAGTGGAGACGGGAGCACCCTCATTGGTTGCTGGTACTTATATGAGTTGGATTAAAAAAGGCAGCTTTGTGCCTCAGTCTTTGATATTCTCTTGTGACTTTTTAAAGCATCTGTTGTAACTGTTCACTCCTGTTTTTATACTCACAATAAGCTTTTTTCTCACCTTTTTTGTGTTCAAGTCGAGTGTATGCATGCATTTGGCAGGCAGATTTTGAGGGATCAAAGTGAGGTGTGTTTTCGTACCTGATCGTCGCTGTCGTGACATCCTGCCCTGCCAAATTTCTATTAAGGTCATTAGACTGTAGTGCATCATTGGAAGGTTTGTGCATGAACAGTGTACAGTCAGATGATTCCTCGACCAGAAACACAATATATTTAAGGACAACTCTTCTGAATGAAGACATGAAATATGTTCTTGCAATTTTTCACAGTTCCTCTATTGACAGGGTGGGAGTTGGAGTGACTGCAATATGTTTTTGGGCCAGTTGTGCTTAATGAATTGAGGGATGGTACATCATGAAATCTTTGTATGGGAGTTCCTCCAACTGTTAGTTTAAGAAAAATATTTAAACATTGTTACATTTAGTAGAGTGACAATCTTCTCACAGTGACTCACTTTTGTAATCCATTTGGTTTTGTGTTTCAAATATTTTAAAGATTATTATACAGAGAACAGAATGATAAGTTCAAAATGATAGCTACTGTTTGTTATGTTGTTGCTAAAGGAGGTTCATGTTTATACATGTTTATATTGTAAGCAGAGTTATTTGCTGTTGATTGTGGAAGTCATGTGAGCATTCCCTTCATGTCACGATGTACTGTATGTTAAACCCATTTTTCATAACTGGGCAGGAGTGATCAGTGTGACTGCACTGCCTTAGATCACTATCATTACAATATACTGTCTTGATATGAAAGGTCAATTATTTATTTTAATATCCTCATCCTTGAAATGGTGCTTTATTGTAATTTATATTTCACATTGATTGTTCAAACAATGAAATTTTTTTTTATTATTATTTAATGGGGAAAAGTATTGAAGTGAATATTTACATTGAGTATTTAATTTCAAAGCCTTTGACATATTCAGTTTTTCAGTTGTTACACAGGTTCAACTTTCTCTCTCCTTTTTCTAATTGGCAGTTAGTCTTACTGAACATCTGCTGTAGAAATGTACAAATGTAGCCTATATCATTAAAGACATTTAATTCTTTTTTATATTTTCGGTCTTTGACTCTTTTATATGTGTTGGGGTGGAAAAACTTTGATTGCTATGGCATGAGAAATAAAAAAAACATACAATTATAATCCATAAATTACAATGAAACCCTTATAGAATCAAACTCATGGATGGGTATACCAGCTTGATGACTACATTGAACATAAATGTGATTTCTCTTATTCAGAAAGCTTTACGTTTGGTATGTTTTTCTTGAAAAATAACCAAATCATTAAAAAAAAAGTTACTGATATATTTAGAGTCTATTGACTGAGTAATGGATTACTATGCTACTTCAGAATTAATTAGAGGACATAGGTCAGAGGATGTTAGAGATAATGTTTACATTTCAACTGTTTTTGTTAGTCCCTCACAACTTTTATGACTTGAGGACAAGTGTGCAGAAAGTCTTTTATCAGCTATGATTGCATACATTATTGAGTTATTCTGTGATGTATTGTTTTGCTTTATATTCAGTCTTCCGTAACTAATACATATTTATGTACTTATATTGAAAGCTTGTGGAAAAAGCACACATTCTGCTGGTTTAGTGCTCATCCTTTACCTCATCCTCTATCTGTGCTTTTATCCCACCCAACCCGTGTTCATGTTCTTCCCTTTATCCTCTCCTCTCTTGAAGCTTGTGACCCACTTCTGCCTTTCTTTCTGGCTCTCAGTAGCAGCAAAGCAGCTAATTCTGATGCCAAGTATAACAGTATTTTTCATAATGAGGACGGAAAGAGAAGGAGGGATTATCATCCATTATAGTAGAGAGGAAGCGGGTGTCTTGGAGATGGTACAATTAAAGGGACAGAAGAGACATGGGAAAAAATAGGCTAAATAAATGTGATAAATATTCAAAAATAGAACCAGTATTTTTGCTATCAGACTGCACACGTTATTTTTATTTATAAATGCTATTTAATTGAACATTGATTTCAGTTTAAGTTTCATTTAAAGGGACAGTTTAATCTTCTTTAACCAGTGTAAAGGAGAATACATTTACAGTCCTACTTGTGTAAGTATGGAAATATAATCAGCCTAATACAAAGACAAGTACCAAAAGTATAGTATTCAATCTGCATTAAAATCTCCCCTGGGACAAATGAATCACCATGTATGAAGTCATTTAATTGTTAATACATAATATTACATGTGTAGCAGTATTGTTGAAGATCAATGTCGTTCTGATGTGTCAGCTCCATAGACTGTAAATAGATCACTAAAACGTCACGTTAACGTTGAACAAGCTAAGCTACACACTTTGCGGTTGTCAGTTTCCTCTGCTGCTCTCACCTTCCCGGCCCAACAGGTGCAGCTTCAGGCTCAGGTTCCAGGTTCCAAGTCTCCCAATCCTCATCCTCCGCAGAATCAACTAAGAACCAGCCTTGATCTTCACTGAATGTTGAGGTGAGAACTGTCATTAAATGAACTTACATTTAGCACAAGTGCTGATGGTCTGTTGAAACTTCTGATTCCCAGCCCTTTTCAACAAAAACAAAAACAAAATTCAAACAGTCTTTATTTATTTAGCCTATTTTATATTCATTATATCAAAAAAGAATATTTTTAATCTATATTAGATGCTGGAAGTTTTAAATGCTTCAATTACTCAATCTGTATGAGAGCAAAACCACTAGCCTACACAAATAAAGTGCTAACTCAAAAAAAAAAAACTAATTTACTGTTTGCTTACTGTTTGCACAGTGCTACATGCATTTATTACAGTGTTTTTATTTTCACTGCCCAATGTCAGAAAATATAAGAAGGTAAGTACTCCAGCACAAGAGGGTAAGCCTGCAAAAAAATCCCTTTGCCTCAAACATTGCTTATTTATGAGCCATTACTGTCTAAAAAGCTGGAACTCATGTATGAATCCTTAATTTAGAAGAGACATCTGATATAACTATTATGTAACTTGATGTTTTTTCTTCGTATGAAAATAAAATTCACATCTGTCTGATATGTGAATTGAGTTTAAAGCAGAATATTCCTCACTGAAATGTATTGGAGTAGGCCTAAAAGTAAAAAACATTTTTACATTAGATTTGTGCCACGTCTTGGCAACCCTTCTAGTTTTCTACATTTTTAAGACTTCACTCTCTCCTTATCTAACGGTGTTGTATGTTAACATTCTGTTTAAACCCTTACTGAACGCAGGTTTAGCCACTGGACTCTGTGCTTCCACATGTCCAGGACTTTGGTGGATTATAATCTGTCGTGGGATATGAGCCTTGCACAGGAGTGTGTTTTAAATGGCTGTGCTGCATTTCTGTTTGATCTTAAGCTTGATTGCTGGAACCACCATGAACACGAGCAGTAGAGCAGTCACCCTTGAGGTATCGGAGCAGTGGAACACAAATGGTCTGTAGTGCTGTAAGAAACGAGCCTAGACTGGAAGGACAGAGGAAAACACCTTTAGGAGTAAGAGAGCTTTAGAGAGACATACAGGCATTGCACATTATTTCCCAGGTGACAGGTGGCAGAGGCTCTGAGTGATTGGCTACTGGCTGAGGTGGCAGTGCATTAGTGTAAATTATGACTGTAACTAAGCCCTGTGTGTCTTACAGAGGGGGCTGTATAAATATGTCAGCTGCACAGACAGGGATATTGCTCTTATCATTATTATGGCTATCTTTCTTTATTAAGCCTTACCGTGTGCTGTTAACGTGACTCCCCCGTCTCATTGTGCGAGCCACAGCCGCGTGTGTGCTTTTGATAAAGCGCAGCAATCCCATTGTGTTAACTGCAACTGCTCGCTTACATACTTCCAATTAATACTGCTGTTCCAGTCTGAGCCTGATGAACAACGTCTTTTAAGCACGCCCTGTGAAACATATGGGACTCAATCAGTCAAAATAGACGTGCTGCTGGTAGATGCACACTGACTTGATCAATGCAAACCTTATTTAAAGAAACCCATAGATCAGATGGTGTAGTACATGTAGTGCTGTTTGTGTGAAAGAGTTACCTCCGCATGAGTCACTGGCTGAGTGAAGAGGTGGTCAGCCCCCGCTGTGAGAGCTTTCAATTCATTCACATCCGTTTGTAAATGCCCACCTCTGAGCGTGTGAATGTAATGTGAAGGAGAGAGAAAAGAGTGAAGGAAGGTGATGTTTCTACTTATTAATTCCACTTTTAAAAGCTGTGTGGTTTGCCTGTCAGTGCAGCCTTTGAATCGAAGCACAGACTGCCTGACACATGACGCCATGACACGGCATTTTTCTTTTACAGCAGATACAGTTAAGAGGAAGCAGAAGAAATGCAGAACTAAAAAGAGGAGTGTACTGACATCTGGAGTCTTTCAACTGAGGGACAGATAAGAAAAATGTTGATGGCAATACCTTTTGTTGTCAGACACTGGGATGCATGATATTGGATATTTGCTGATAACTAATATGTGATATCTTTTGAATCTATAGTTCTTAATGCCTAAGACATCAAGTCTCTCCTTTTGACAAATAAACATTTGATTATGCCCACTCATAATTGAGGCAAATGATGCAAAATGAGAAAGCGACTTCAACCTGGGCTTCATGTAAAACAAGCCAGACTTACTACAGCTGTTTTCACATATGCACTCCTGAAAATATCATCATGTCCAATCGGCTGGAAAAAAAGCAGACGGGGGCAGACAGGTAGCTACAGTGTTGCACACACTGCAAAAACTAGGGCAATGAACGCTCACTGATGGTCCAACTAGGACCAGCGATCTCCTTGGTGTTGTCAGGGCCTCAAGTAAGAAAAAGACGCAGAAGTAACGGATGAAGCTACACACTCCGCTGTACTGTGTTGTAATACTAATATTTTCCTTGATATCAGTGCCATGTGTAGTTCAACGGAATGACACTATCGACAAAAACATAATCCTGCCTTTTCATTACATGCACAGAGAATGAAGCGGTCGCATGCAGACACTCTATGCACCGTGCAGCAGTAGGAGTTTTTCAGGAGTTTCCTGCAAGTGTGAAAGCCCTATATGACAGAACATTATTAAAGATGCGTCATTGTATATGACATCACAGCTACATAATGACCTACAAGATTGAACAGCAGCACATGGCTTAAAAGTTGCAGAAGAATAAACAAATAAAAGTATACCAGATTTACAAGACAATATTTTTCAAATACACACCGAGACTGCTTAACAAAGCGTACCAACTCATTTGTTACTTTATTCTTTAGGTAAATAAAAAACCATTTGTGAGACTTATTTGATGTCATCCAATTTATACCTTCTTCAAGCACTACAGGTTAATTTGCTTCGATCAATGCAAGTGTCTTTAAAAAAGAAAATTGAAAAATAGAATTGAATTAAATATCCTTACAGTTGATTCATTTGTATGTAAAAAAGACTCAGGCGTATCCTCGTGTAATGATCAGCTAATAGATGTCTTCTGCGTTTGGGATGAAGCGCTCTTTTTTGTCAGTGTGAATCAGCCTGATGCAGCAGAGCTTTGCCCTCTTACAGTCATCACTGGATTCTGTGATATTTTGTCAACATTTGACATGCAGCGTTGCGCTCTGTAACCTGACAGCAGCTGTGGATTATTTGGTTGTTCTGGGTATCTCGCTTGAATATCCATGCTGTCTTACATACTGAGTTTTCACCAAATCAGCACAGACTTTCTATATGTACCCTCCAGCAATTAACGCATCTGTTTTTCTCTGTGATCTTTATAAACAACCACGAAGACCCCCACGTCGACCTGCAGCCCCCTCTCCTCATCCCCAACTATTAAATGGGTGTTAGCTCATTATAGCAAATATGGTGAGTTGGGCATGCTTCACTCAGCAATGATTGGCATAATTGAGCTGATTTCTACTTGCTATTCAGTTCAGCTTGTCAGTAGAAGGCTCCCTCTCCTCCCACACTCAACCCTCCATCACCCCCCCCATATGGTAATAAGCATTGCAGCAGTGGCTTCCCTCATCCTCTTATACACACCTCTTTCATTTCTTATTCATATTTCTGTGTGTGTGTGTGTGTGTGTGTGTTGAAGACACACATGTTGGGTGTACCGCTGCAGACTGTCACTGCACCGTTCTGGGTCTTCGATTCGGATACTTGGAAAATGAGAAGATGTTGCTGTCATTGATGTGTTTGGTTTTGTTGTTAGACTGGGGGGTTAAATTGTCGGCTAATCTTAAAATGTGCGTGAGCGTTTTGTGTGTGTGAGTGTCTCTGCACTGTTGGGTGGATCCCTCTGTGTTCTGTGCTGTGTTCTGTGCCGTGTTCATCTCAGTGAGAACAAAAAAAAAAAAAAAGCGGAGTTTTTTTTTTCCCACAGCTAAGAGTCTAACTCTGAAACATCAAAGACAGAGATAGGGAGAAACAGAGCGAGAGAGAGAGAGAGAGAGAGAGAGAGAGAAACAGAGCGAGAGCGAGAGAGAGTGAGAGAAACAGAGCGAGAGAGAGAGAGAGAGAGAGAGAGAGAGATAAAGGAATGGAGTTAGGGAGGGCTATGCCTTGTATCCGGGTAATGATGGAGCAAAGAGCGATGGAAGGAGGTGGAGTGACAATAGAGAGAGAGTGAGGTAAAAGAAGGGGGTGAGTGAGAGAAACCTACCTACCAGTGCAAGCAGAGATAGAGAGAGAGAGAGAGAGAGAGAGAGAGAGAAGAGGGAGGAGAGTGAGCGAGGGAGGGGAAGATCGCTGGACTGAGCGGATAGAAGTGTTACTACAGAGCTGCCGCTGCTGCTGCTGGCGGACGGGACTGGGAGCCGAGGATAATGCTCCATCCCTCAGTGTTCAGCCGCACGCCGGACACCTCTTAATTTCTCGTGGCAACGGCGGGCAGCCGCGGAGGAGGAGGAGGAGGGTTCTTTTTTTTTTTGTTGCAGCAGTGATTTTCTTTATCTTTTCCTTTCCCTTAACCACAGTCTTCATTTACATCCTTCTGCTCGCCCCTCCTCACTCCTTATTCCTCTGAATCTGACAACCGCTGGGGCCCCCCCCCCCCCACCTCTCTTTTCTACTTCTGTCCCTATCTTCCAGAGGAGGGATTTCTCTATTTCATCAGGGATTGTAGAAGACAGTAAGAATGTTTTCTGTCTTTTCTTTTTCTTCTATTCTCTAAAGGAAACATGCATGGAGATGGTGCATTGGAACGCTAAGGGTTTTATATATGTGGAGGGAATTGCAGTCATAAGGGAGTGTGTGTGTGTGTGTGCATGTGTGCAGCAGGGTTGGGGGGGGGTGGTGGTTGCATGTTCAAGTTTACTGCATTGATGTAGAACATGAACTCATCCCTCACATGGTAGTCTGTGTGTGCAGTATTCCAGATTCAAATCAACATACACAGCAGATGCACTGAACAAACACTGGAAATGAGAATAAAAATGAAACGAGAGGAGAACGGCTTTGAAGGGGACCCGCTGAGGCAGTGCAAACCAAACAGTGCTTGGCAGTGGATTACTCCTTGATGCCAGCAGATGAATACAGGTTTACTGAGAAGCAGCAGCAGCAGCAGCAGAAGAAGAAGAAAGGATAAGGGAGAAAGTGGGAGAGTAAAAAGAGGAGGCAGGTCACATATTTTTAGATGGACAAGACAAATCAGACATTTGTCATCATCGAGACAAACAAAAAAAAAACAGAGCTGAAGGTAGATTCATGAGAGATGCTGCTTGTCAGCTCTTGAATGTATCATTGTGTCAAACTGATAATCCCTCCCACATACATTTGCATGGCTGCCAAAGGATTGCTGTTGATCTGGTGCACAGAGCAGCACACTGCTCCGTGTTCACATTAAAAGGCTAACCAGTGCATAAAATCACCTAGTACATCACACTTAGGCTCCACTGACATTATAACTGTAGCGTGTAAGGCAAGGTAAGCTTGGATGAGCAAGCACACAGATGCTCTTTACCTTTAAAATTGTTCGGCTGGACTCTCTAAGGTGCAGCTTTAGAATCAAGTGTTTTGCCATGCATTAAACACCAGATGGATTTCATAAGTGCTGCCCTCTCACTTGAATGGCTGCCTCTACACAAGTAGGGTCACTCTGCCAGCTGGGAACATGTGTTTGCTCTTTCCCTGTCATTATCCCTCCACCTGACTGTAGTATATCTATAGACGCCTTTGTCTCCATTGAACACAGCCCCCCTATAGGAAGGTGATGGTGGTCACTTCACATGACAAACACAATTTCACATTAAAAAAAAATCGTCTTTCTCACAAAGTGATGAGGAGGATTTCAGCATCATTTTGCACGATTTGAAGTACAAACAACTCCCCCCCCCGCCCTACACCCACCCACCCACCTGCACACCTCAGTCATAGTAACTCATACATGCAGATGCTAGTCATGCTCTGCTGATGCGTCGCCTCAGGGAGACATGGATCTAGAGGATGGCAGAGCGAATCATCGAGAAGAGAGTGTCATTTGTAACGGTGGTAACTTGCAGCGACACCATCAGTGTATTAATGCTGGATGTGGAGAAGTGTGTAGACTGTGTTGATGTAACAACCATGAAGAGCTTTTGACATTTTGTAGCCATTTATCCATCAAGTCCTTCAATTCATGGGGCCACATAGGGTGTTTGTCCCCCCCCCCCGTGAGACCCCCAAGAACCTTTTTCTTAATTACAGCCCGGCCAATCGCAGGCGATGCCTTTAATGCCCCGTATTTATGCCTTTGTTTGTTGGGAACAAATGTGGAAGATGGTAAATGTTTGGAATTGTTGCAGTTTGGTTAAGTTTAGGCGCCCAAATGACTAAATTAAATAAAGAACTTAAATGACCTTATGTTCTTGATGAAAGTAACGTTTCTCATGTACTTTAAAAAGAAGTCTATTGGAGGTTCAGTGTTGAAGAGGACTGTATACACTATTAGTTTCAAAAGATGGGAAAAAATAAGCCCATTCTCACTGAAGGGCACCTCACTAAAGGAGTGAAGTGTATTGATTGTTGGTTTTCAAGTCTTCTTCAAAACGGCACAATGTTCGTTTGATCCAATTTAGAGTAAAAAAAAAAAAAGACCCTAAAGCAAGGTATGTTTTAAAAGGGATGACCTAGCAGATGATCTTTTTGAATGCAGACAGTTTGATGTCTTTTTAATGCGCACAGTCTCAGTCAT